AAAAGAATGAAAAAGCTTAAGGTACCTATTAATCAAATGGGAGTTTTGCTGGGGTTTGATGTTTTGGCTATGCTTTCTTCTAATTTTTTTTATCTTCCCCTCACGTCAAAATTGTTGGGAAAGGATGACCTGACCTGATAGAAATTTGAGGGCTGTGACTCTTTGTTTGAGAGTTTCCTGATGAAATAAACAAAAAACGTTGACCCGAAAATATAGAACCCAGTAAGGGGAGTGTAAAGGGGTGGTTTGAAATACTCAGTTGGGTGCACCCAACCCGAGGGATAGAGACGTTTCCATCGAAAGATAACATTACTTGATCACAATGCTTGAGGTTAGGTACAGGTCACACCTGTCATCCAGAACGAAACGAAACAACGGCGAATTTATCATCTGCATGGGGGTAGTGTGCACCCACGTGACCCACTAACTACAGTGCTTGAAGCAAAGTCGGAACCATGTATGAACGTCCGATTCACCCAACTGGCCCATTATCAGCCTGGACTATCAAAATTTTTCAAGGATGTTATCATAGGCTCCCAAGTTCAGGAGGTACTAAGAATAGGCAAGGGCAGGCTCAGGCAAGTGAACTCTGTGTCTAAAATCACTTTTCTACTTAAAACACCATTTTTCGTCATCATAATGGACACCTTCAGCGTCCGATTATTTCCTCAAAACTTCAAGCTGAGGGTTAGTAAATGGATGTTCGCAAATGAACATGTTGCGGCGAAGGTCGTCGTACAGACTGTGACAGTTTGGATAATATATGTCACTGGAAGAATCTGGAGGATTTAAGTGACTATTGGCGATGCTATGCACGTGTACACAGCAATAAAATCAAGTTCTGATAAGTCTCAATTAGGATTTCATCAACCTCTCTCTTTCATATTCAACAACAGACTGGTTTATGCAGCTAATAGGGTCAGAAATTGCTTCATCACATTCTCTTCTAAGGGCTCATGTATTTCCTAAGACACCGGAGCATTAGGCTTCTACCTGGCCGTTTCGATCTGAAGGTCAGAAATTCATAGTACAGTATAGCATAGTGTAGTACAGTATTGGGGTCGGGCGAAAGAATGCATAGGTGAAACCTGTACATATTCAGTGAGTGAATTATCGCCTTGCTCCGGCTAGGCAGAACAGGTAATCAATTTCTAAGCTGTTCGTTCCACAAAGGATCCACCTTTTCGCATTACTCGGCCTTACTTAGTTGGATACACGTGCTGTAAGGATGCAACCTGCATTCCTGTGTGTGACGACGGCTAGCGTCCTTTATGCCGTGGACTTTTTCGTGGTGCTGAATACGAAACCAGGTCCTAACTGTAGACCTTACACTTTTGAGTTAAATTTGGCATTGGATGTTTTCCTCCATGACATACTGCATTAGGTAAAACTTTCCGGAAATTCCCTGGGTAAACACCACTTTCTTCTAAAAAATTATGAAGAGTTCGTATTCAACAGTAACCTCTATATATCCTCTGACTAACAGTTTACCTGAATGTCTCTCCGTCAAAACTGTATTCACTGTCGCATAACTGTTACAAAAATTGCTGATGGAAGTTATCCGACAAGGCGATCCCTCCAGGTTCTCTATGTCCACGTTTCTTCATCGACCTATTCACTCATTCGTGAAGGTCAGTTGAAGGCAGGATATCCATGACTTTCGCATCCCGACCCTTGTATCCTAAAGCTGTCTTCAGTCCATACTACAACGATTATCTCTGAATAACCGTCAACTTTTATTTCGAATTGCTTCAACAATGATAGTCAAAGTACGAAAAATCCAAAATATATTTTTTCGGGGAACATGTCCAAACTCCTGGCTAATCCACGTTTTGTCCACCGGATGTCCTGGTCCGCCCGTCCCAATATCCAAGTTTTACCAATTCAGGCATTTAGTGGGGCTTGTCCCATTGACACATTGTCAACCAGCCATTTGACCTCTTCAGGTGATGTGCCTGATATTTTTTTCAATTTCGCAATAGTTTAAAGCTTCCGTGGTTATGAAAGTCAGCTTTACTCTTTTCCTGTGTTTCTCCAGATGGTAGTTGACAGTAGTTTAAATGAAGTTCACTCGTACCGCTTCCGCTCAACTTCGACTGTGACAAACTAGCGTCTAGCATTCCATTTCGTTGGCTGTATCGGCACTGTGTTGAGGGATACCTGAATACACGTCGCATAAGATGAAAGTAACACGATCTTGTTTGTTGTCGCCCGTGCGTTCTAGCTGTGCGTGAAGTGGAATGCGCATCAGCTACAAGAAGTAAAATTGACTTTTGGAATTCAGAGCCATCACTGATGCAGCTAGTTGACCACATTCTTGAAGTTGCGATAAGTAACTGCTTAACTCAGTGCCGCTTAACCCGTCAGAGATTTTGTAATGGAATGTGCGTATCTGTGAATGTCCCATCTCAGATGTTACAAGCGACAACAACAAATTATAAAGCTGCAAATTAAATATAGCATATATTTCACTGTTATGTTTTTAGTACCCTTGGAGCGGAAAGGACGACGTTTACCAAGCTCCACTCAAGTGATACAGAATGATAAACACCGGTCAGAGCCAAGTTGTGAACTATGTGTAAAGTAGTGACAGACATGCGAAGACAGACCTTTACGTTCCAAATGATTTTGCGTAGATTTTACAATGGATTTTCAGTAGCGCGACTTCTGGGCCACTTCCATCTTCCGTCACAAGAATCTGTCATTGGGAAAGAGACAGAGAGCAAAGAAACCATGTGATAAATGCAAGGAAACTCTCCTCTTTGATCGGCATACCGGATACATTTACGCTCTTGCGTCTTCCTATTGGCCATGAACTAAAACAGATTGTCTTTCGGAATGGATACTGCAACTCTTCTACTTTGTATCCCAGGGTTTTACTAAAGTGGGAGTTCCTTATCAAACTGTTTTTCAAGCTCGGTAAGCCGATCAATCACAGCCTGACCAACGACCGATAAACACACTCTAACTTCTAATGTTTGGAAAATTGTAAAGCTGAGGCCAGCTAAAACTGACACGTCCTGGACACTTTTTTATCCGAAAACACTTCTCCAACCCAAGCAACACACCGTTCCTGATCACGTCCGATTCCTGGTCCAACCAACTGGTGGGTTGTTCAGGTTGACTGTTGGCGATTTGTTTAGCTTTATTTGAAAAGCTATTGAGCGTAGGGCCAAATCAGTGTGTCAGAGATGCGGACACGCAACTAAGCCGAGGAAAAAGGAGCAAACGGATGCTGTTTGTCGCAGGTTAATCGACCGGTCGTGTCAAATGAGCCACTTTGAAAACGGGTAACTGCTTGTCACCAGTGGACCGAACACATTTATGCTCCATACGTGTACGGACTTTGGAGTTCGTAACCCAACCCTAACATCAACAAATGGTGACTACTGTACAGGCCAGTTGAATGACTCGTGGTTGCCGACTGGATGCTCCCACAAGCGTTTTGATTCTGCAGACTGTAAGATCAAGATTAACGGCTTTGAATTTGTCTTTAACACCAAATAGCAATGCTTTAAATTCACCGAGGATCACTGAGACCAGTGTACCGATGTATACACCGTCCTTCCCTCACACAGCGTTGCCAAGTTGTCACCTGCGGTAGCCGTTCGAGAGGTGTTTCAGAGATGTCAACATTGTTTTTTGCATTTCCCCCAAACGTTGTGCTCTATACAGATTTCCATATGAAACTTCAGTTACTACGGTTTGGGCTCGGTAAAAGGCACTGCCACTAAAATGTTAAAGATAAGCGTTCACAAAAACAGGTGGCGTAACATTTGTTTGCATGTCTACCGAGAATCGCTTTCACCACATGACCCATCCATGATTCACTGTGACCGTCAAAATGTTTGTCGGGCGTTCAAGTCTAGAAAAAATTGCCGGGAAACATTGAAGTACTTCTGTTCACCTTGGATGGCAGTTAATACTTCGGAAAAAGTCTGGTGGGTTCCGATACACGACCGTCTTTTAGCTGAATACGTTTGGAGAATAAAGTATTTCATTTTGCCTTGTGCACTTTATGGCATGGCACATCCCCTGTTTTAGAAGTGCGTAGCTTCTTAAAGGGTAAATTTCGGGGAAGAGATTTTTCTAACATCACTGACGAAGTGAGTTAAGGAGTCATCCAATGATGGACTATTGCAGTGTGATATGTCTGTGTGGTTAAGAGTAAAAAGTAAACATGTAGCCCAAGTGGTAGTTCACACCTCATCAGTCAGAAGCCTCTGGCTCAAGGGTAGCAAATAGCTTACCTTGCAAAGGTATCGAAACCCTCCCCTCGGATTCTTTCAGCCGTTTCTACACTCCAGTATCTATGGTTGGGTTTCCGACAGTTTCAAATAATTTGCGACTCTGCGGTTGACCTCAAGAGTGAGGTAATTGAAACTAGCAGTGTTTTGATGACGCTGGTTCGTTTCTCACGCTTTTCTCACGCTTATCAGGCACGCATTGCGCACCTATGTTATTTGTCATTTGGAAGACATAAATCATACCGGTTGATTCAAGCATACTTTGATCCTTTCAACTTGTCTGTAGATATGGAAAAAGTGAATAGTGTACGGAATTCAAATTTGCCCTGTGCGGTTCCTCAATTGCCTGATGCTAAAAAACAGGTGAAGTGAATGAAATCTCATCACACTCTGTCATAAACTAAACTGTGCCATATTAATTCTTTGGAGCCACAATCGGCCAAAAGTGAATGTTAAGCTATCCTCAAACGAACACGGGCAAGACATTTAGCCGTAGCCGATAAAACTGCAAAAGTCACTGCCTTTGAACAGCATTTTGATAAAAAAATATCCACCCCATTTGTAATTCAAGCTGAGTTCACCCGCATACCCTTGTGGCTCTTATGTACTCTAACGCTAGCAAAACGTGAGACCAGCGATTCCTATAAATGTTGAAGCAAACAGAATAATTTGCACTGTAATACCAAAATAAGAGGACATAAATGAAGTCTTATCAGTTGTGAAAAATTGACAGTTCTAAATACGGAAACTGACCTTCATCCTCCGTGGTTCCACAACCACAAGCCTCCGAGCTGGTCTTATTAGAAGCTGACACAGTACGCAGGGTAACAGTGTGAAACTTGCAGGGATTCAGCCCATAGACAGAAAACGACTGAACTTTCCCAGAGGCAACTGGATAATCGTTTCCACCGATCCACACAGAATACGACTGGGGAAAGTGGGGTTCCCCCGTCATCGGAAGATCCCAGGTAAGGTTTAGTCCCCTGATCAGTGACTGAACTCGAAGGTTGTAAGGCTTTGGGGGAGGCAGAGCTGCGAATATAAGTTGAGTGTAATTGAGGACAAACATGAGGTAACAATGAAAGTTAATTGGCTTGAACAATAAAGCACGAAGCGGTCTGTGAACAACAGACGAAATAATATTTTCAGTTTTAAGCTTCGGTCAAGAAACGAAGCTTACCTTTTGTGATTGATTAGTTCAACTAATACACCACACACTGGTGTGGACTCCAGCTCAAGATTATATAACTTAACGGATATTACGTGAATGGAGGCAGGAAGAGCTACTTTGGTCCAAGTCCAACAGCCGAAATGGTAGCGTCACACAGCGGGACGTAGACATAAAATTATTCACACTCAAGTGTCGAACAGGTTCTTCCTGATCTGAGAACCTAACCGAATTCCGTTAGCATTCCACTCGATAACGGTGTGACTCGGCTGGTGCGTTGTGTCCAAATGAGGAGCGACCGCATGTGAGCTGAACATCAAACACACCCTTCTCCCGGTTCTTTAAATTTGAAGGAATAATCAACAGCATCATTAGTATATCAGGAAAAGCAGGATTTTTCATAACTTTTACATCCTTGCCTAGGCAAGGAAAGGTATTTTTGCAAGGTGTTAAAACAGGAACTTGCTCCGGTCAGCATAAACAGCACTCATCTGGTCTACTGACTCAATCGTGTGTTTAAAACAAAAAACAAGGAGATGATAGCCTAATTGATATTCGAGGGACAACATCACACAAGATTTCCAACTGGTCTCTCAATACGACTTATGTGGTGGAAACATCCGGAAATAAGTTGTTTTAAATCGTTTTTTAATTTTCCAAATAGAACTATTCTGATTTATTATAAACTAACAGGAATATTAGAAACAAACGAATTAAAAAACCAAACGGTTCGTGTCCAGTTAGAGTGAACTGAAGGATTAATGTTTTATCAGTGGGATTTGACAGCCAGGGCATAACTGATGTAAAATGGGACCGGGATTATTTTGGATGATTACTAAATTTGGACAAAAAGAAAATGTCTCGATGTTTTTCAAAGGATTCATTCACACGATGGCTATCTCTCGCAAGGACCTCTTTTGCATTTGAAACATTATTTTGTCGATACAGTGAGAGACCCTTTTCTGAAGATCATCATTAGATGGCGGTGTGGTGAATATTCGTTTGGTAAGAAAAACACAGTATTGAACCGTTCAAAAGAGCACAGTGCACCCACGGAATCTCCATGCTTCTATACAGTTTGACCTTTCTTTTTGAGTTGCTGAGAGGGCGTGTGCAGTTCTGAGTGACATTTTTAAGTGGACGTAGCTTCTTGGTCGACACTGTTCAGTATCCGGCTACAAAGAAGTTGGCAGCAGATCACTGGTAACTTCAGCTATTCTAAGAGGCACTTAATCTGTACTGTCTCTGGGGGCGAGCTCAGGATAAACTGTGAGACATATTCATATGTTTTCCAACTTCACCAAACCAACTGAAGTCAATAATCACCTAGTAATCCCTGATCTTCTAACTTAGGATGGATGTTCTGAGGCTCGTCATGGTGAGTTTTCATAGTTTTCCGTTTTGTTTCAATTTCTTGAACGAGTTGTACAAAACGTGTAACGTACGTAACCTGTGGATCCTGGCAGTCTGTAAATCAGACAGTCGCCTGACTAGCTTAGTTTTTCTGCGCTAGGTAGCGCTAGGAGACGGCGCTATACCGTAGGTGAATAACTTTTTTAAGCCGGACTAGTGATAATGCAAGGAAATGTTCATTCAGATCCTATTGTCCCAACTGTCACTTTGGGAGTTCGAACGCATGAATAGGCAGGTATCCGAAATTCGTTCCTTCATTCATATACCACTGCTGCACTGCCCAAAATGGACCTAAAATTCACTTTCCCTAAAATTTCGCTAGACCGTAAGTACTGTTTCGTTTAGCGCCCATGGAGACGCATGACACTTCTGTGAACACCATTACGGATGCTTAACTCTTGTATCTATAGCACAACAAAAATAAATGGGTGAATTACCGCAGACGCAAAATCATCAAGTAAGTTAACGATGAAATGCCTGTCCCCATATAGGGACCACAATATGCATTCCTTTAGCGACGACGGCACCAAGTTCGTTTTTCCTGATCGTACGTTCATGTCAAAACTTTCTATTTTGTCTACACCGATAACAACTGCAGTAAAAACGGGAACAGAGAGACGCGTCGTTTCCCCGCCATTTTGAATCGGAGTGTATATGGCATTCGAATTACAAATGGTACATTAAAATGCTCACAGGAATAGGAATTACTGTACACATCACAGTTTCAGAACAACCTTGTTCGCACTCTTGAAGCTTTAAATTCAAGTCCAACAATATGCATGACGGAAAGGCAAACACCCTAATTCTTAGAGATTTTGTGCCTTGAGGAAGGTAATTCTGACTGAACATAAATTGATTAATGATTATCGCTTCAGAACTAGAAAGAATTACAGATAAAAACGCGTCTAGATATTCACTGGTCTCAGTGGGCGAATTAGCCCAAGAAACAAGTGTTGGTGCAAGGCTCTTTTTTCACCTAAGGGTACCCCGTCTTATATCCTAAATACCCAGTAAACTTGGTGGTTGATCGGATGGCAGTTGATCTGTTCGCCGAGCTTGACAACTGGCTTGCAAACGTTTCGTCCCCAGTCGAGGAGACATCGTCAGTGCGCAGTTGACTGTGAACAGATCAACTGCCATCTGATCAACCACCAGTAAACACACCCGAGCTACCCATATTTCGACAAATTGACCCAGTAAACTTCAATGAGGCTGAGACCGATAAGGGAATATTTCGACTAGTTTTATTATTCAACAAAAAACTGACTAGACCATTTCTTCACGGAATAGTGCTAATATTTTAAACCAGCCTACCTGGTTGTGTTTGCTTTGAACGCAATTCGGATAGCTCGCCGCTGACACTGCTCAAGTGGGCACGAACCCCATACGAGTAGACGGCACTTGGTTTGAGATTCTCCACAACATGTGGTCCTTCAGAATTAAAAAGCATAAATCGTTCCTTCCCGTGTTTTGTCGTTTGATGCACAGTGTAGTAGACGTTGCAGTGCTTGTTTAAATGTTTTGGTCGTTTCCATTGAATTATCTGTTCTGTTCCACCCGTCAAATTGATTACAGTAATATCTCGCACTTGTTTGATACCTGTCAAACACAAAATAGGGTACTGCTGATTCCTGCTAGGATAGCAACTAAACGAAAGTTCACAACTGTCTGGTTTGCCGTTTAGTTAATTTAAAACGCCAGGAAAATGCAAGACGAATATAGCTCATAATCGTTATAACACAGTTCTGTGCATTCCCCCCCCCCCGCCCCAAGGAAAACTGACGAGAGACAGTGGCAATATAACTAGGTCAGGCTTCGGAAACTTTCCGCACTAAATAATTCGCCAACTTCTACGTCGGGGGTGGGGGATTGTCAGTCAACTGAAGGAAGGGGTCTCTGATGAATAGCATCCACTTCGTCGTCAGTGACATTTTGAAAATTCCCATTATTGTGGTTTTTACTTGCAATGATGTAATGCAGTAACTCCAAACAACGAAGGAATTCCTCTGGGGGAAGATTTGTAGCACATGAACGTTCACATCTTCATGTCACTACACACTAACGCAACACTGATCTACTGCGTACTAATGACGTCAAGCGAACTGGTGACCGTACGCCTGCAACCAAACTACTAAGCTCAGCGGCCTTCTATACAAACCAAATTAGCAGTGTTTCCCTCAATGCCAGCGAGCTAACTGTGTTTACTTTCAAGAGCTTATGGATCTAGTTGAGAAGCAGGGCTTTCCAACGCAATTCAGCATGTACAAATGTGATGTCACGTCATCGTCTTCGAAAAATTGTGGTGACAATCGGTAAATTTATTGCTGGCAACGTTTTCGCTTTTGACACAAAAGCTTCGTCAGGCCAAGTGACTAGGTTCCGAGGTTGGTCGAGATTCAAGGCGGAAGGAGAATCAATTAGCTAAGTCAAGCTAAATCTCTGTTGGGTGTCGGCCGAGGGATTTTTGTGTGTTAGACTGGTTGAACAAGTGTTGGGTCGGTGGGGAAACCTACGTGTGTTTGGATCCAGCCTAGGGTCTAGTTCTTCTGATTCGGTTCATTTGATGGTCCCTCTTGAACGTCGTTTGAACCTTCTGTCCGCCTGTGTGGATGAGCTAGTGCTAAGGTAGTTGTGTATGAGGGATGCTGTGACCTTTGGTCGGGTTGGGATCTGCACTTCCACCCCCACCCCCCGGCTTTTGCTAATGATTCTACGTGGATTGACAACCACACAGTCACGTGTCAACTCGGCTTATCTAAGACCGCTTTCGAAATCGATAACTACTCAGTCAGTTTCAAGTATTTTCCACCTGATGTCACGCCATCTTTGTCGGGAATCTTAAGCACTGTCCTGAAAACGGTATTATTTAGTAAGGAGGTATTTACAACCAGGACACAGAAATTGTTAGAGCCTCCGTGGTTGATTGCAAGACCTATTTTGCCAAAGTGTGAAGTTGTTCCCCATTAACTATGGCCGTACTCAAAATCATGAAGTTGCACTCATGATCAACTGCTTCATTCATATATTGTTACAGTGTGCGAAGTTGTGTCACCGGTTTGCCAGTAACATACAACCTATTCTGTAAATACTCCTTCCAAACGAGTGACTTTGGTCACTGCGGATGTGCCTGTTTCCTACATACACTTACTCGTAAAAGCAGGAAATCCATTTGTTGTGAAGGTGTTTGTTGGCAAAAGTTTACACTCTTACGCATTCCGGACGTTAATTGGCCATAAAGGCATAATAAGTTAACTCTGATAAGCGGATCCATAATTTCCGCAATGACCTTCACCTCCTATCAGATGCTGGGGCGAGGCTTGGCACCTGACCATAGACTACTTGCATGCTTCATCAGTAGTATATGCCGTTACATCCCTATGTACGTACATGAGTTCACCAAGTCACAGTTACCATCATCATACTCCGGCTTGTTTGTACATGTTGTATCCTCATGTAACGTTTGGAGTCCAGTTGGCACGGGCAGAGCATAACCTAGGCCGTGTCAGGATTTTGGCCCAGGACTTCTAGCATACAAGATACGCGATTTAAAACGACACTATCAGGGCGCCCTGGATATTCCTGAAGAGGCAACCTCCATGAGGATTCATCAGACAGAGCGAAGCAATTATCTTAAGCGCTTGGTACAACGGGCCACACTTTCTGTTCATTTTAGCGATGTCGCGGGGCAACCTACTTTATCTTCACGATCCGTCAACAGCAGCCCATGTGCCAACTACGCCCAGACTGGTAAAAGAGGTTTTCTTGACTGCTGATTTGTTCGCCGAGCTCGGCAGTTGGATGCACCCAACTACCAATTAGGTGAACAAACCAACAATTAAGCACTACAGCCCGGTCATCTGTATTCGGCAACCTCACCAATTACGTTTTTATTTTTTGGGATAGTCTTTAGGTACGGTGATAAATCGGTACACCAATCTGTTTGGGCTGTCTAGAACAAGATGTAATAATCTGCATGGGTCTTTCCAAATATCCTCAAAGCGCTTGTTAGTCCCACTGGTGTCATGACCACCACCACTAATGATAACATGGCAAGCTATCTGGGGATGGAGTGACGAACCTTCTGTGTTGTGTCCACATATTTCGGAACATCAATCTCCCGGTAAGTTATAGTTTTGTACTTGGTAAGCACCTTTGAGCATCCACACTCACTGACACCGCCAATTCCACCGAAATCACCTTGGACACATAAATGCACTCTGAGTGATTGGCCGTATTGAACTGTGCAACAGCTACTAACCTCGAAATTTGATTTGACAATCGGAGCAAAGGAATATCCGTCACTGGGATGGAGACTCATCCTTCGGGAGGTGGGATGCCTAATTTATCTAAGAACTAGATCTATGTCATTTTTCATACTGTCCGAATCTACCCAGGTCGGTCTGAAAAATAGTTTCCGATAGGGTAAGTATTCTGACTTATCAGTCGTTCTGCGTCTGCCGATGAACACAACGGTTTTCACAGTGTTTAACAATGGCCGGCATCATCTCGTTGTTTCAGAACCTTCGATCTGTGGTTGTACGTACTTTGCCAAATGCTCACTCCCTTGTCATGTGTAGAAGTACTTTGGGCATTCCTCGACATTTGCGGTGCAGCAAACAGCAAATTTCTTCCCGTTATTCTATGGGCGCCTTAATGCGGACATTGAAAGCCAACTTATATGTATCTCAGGTGCTGGATTTGATTCTACGATATCAGCACCATCACTCCAGATCAGTGGTTAAGCGAACTGCGTCGATATGCTTATAGCTGTGGACTTCCGAAGCCGAAACGTTGACTTGACAACGAAGTTAACCGGGGAGCTCAAAAACATAGGTGAGCAGTCTAGATTCGTCAAGTGACTTCCAGCCAACTTATATCTGCATTTATCTTACTGGATACTTCGTTAGTGCAAAAAGAGGGTGATCTCCTGTCCACAGGGAGTGTTGTCGTGAATGCGCGCAAAATTAAGCAACTCGGACACTGCACATAGCGATTGTCGGCAACAGCATCATAGGATTGTCTGCTTGTCAGACGTGTACTCTCGCTCCCAACATTTTTTGCTCACTTTGCAATAAATCATCGAATTTTTAGAACTCACATTAGTCTACCCCCAAACTTCTTGTCTTGGCGTTCTGAACAACAACAATAATATCAGCTGGAAGAGTTGTATTGTCCAGCGAACTAGTGGCAGTAAAGGACCGAATGCCAGTTGGTAATCAAACAGATGTTGCTTCCCACTAGACGTCGGTGTAGAACACGCGACCGCTTCGACAGTTAGTTTAGCACTATCCGTAGCATAAAACTAACTTTGCAGTAGAAAATAGCCAAATTCGCAAGCTGAAGAACCGCAAGACCCCAATCAGCCAATCTCCATGACTCTGCCGTTCAGTGTGCTTACAAGCAGGCGAACAAATTGTATGCAAATCACATACACCAGTCAGAAACGGCATAGGATCTGAGTTTCAAAGTGACCGGACAAAGTGCGCTCGACTTTGAACTCGGACCGATTCGTCGTGCTCACGGTGCTGGAGGACACCATTTCGTTCTCTTGGACGGA